AGAAAATCCAGCTCTCCTATTCCAAAAGACAACAGATCAGAAAACCCAATCCTTTCATTTTGAATGACTGACTCCCCTACTTAATCCCAACTTTCAGCACATCTTTCTGTTCCCTCCGTGTGGAGCAAAGACAGCACAACACCCCAAAAATTTTTAGGAGCTGAAACAGTGTGTCTGTGGGCAGCTCTGCTGTTTCCCAAGCAGCAAGCTTGTGTGTGCAATGACTGCATCGAGTGCTAAGGCGTATTGACACTTAGAGGAGATGAATGACATAAATACACTGTGCTAAAGATGAAAAAATTGAGCAGCCAGCAGCACGCTTCCATTAGGTTTTTGAGTGTTTTATAAGGTGGAACACGTGTTATGGCATAAAACCAAAACTCTACTCTTGTTCTGCATCTTCACCTCACCCTGCGTGCTTTCTAAAATGGACATGTCACTTTGGCTGTATAATCTTATCATATTTAGATTTGATTTAAATCTTGCCTTTTCTCAGCTGTGCTTGCTAATGGAATCACTCATGCTTTTTATACAGTTGATCTAATAGTATTTTCTTCACCGCTCTCTGATATTATTTTCTACTTCGTAGAAATCATGGCAAAACTGGCCACTTAAATTGAATCTGCATCTTAATGATATCAGTGGTGATTTTCCTGTGTGTTTGTACAGGTGTGGGGTTTTCTTCTTTCTCTTTGTACCACGATCATTCTAATATGCTGTGGCATGAGGCTGTGAACGACTACTTCAGGGCAAGGTTCCCTAATAACGGATTACTTTGCCTCTTAAACTGCCCTGCTGAGAAAGGTCATCAACGTAGTGTCTGTGAGAAATGTTTTTTTCTTATTCTTCTTTGCATTTTATAAGCAGGATTCTCTAGCACCTGTGAACTGGCTATTTGGAAGTCTACAGTCTTCTGAGGTCCCTCCTCAATATCAGGAGAGTGGTGCCTCTCTCCTGGAAGGCTCTAGGAGAAGATAATTTAGCAACATTCAGCATTTTCTGGCTTGTAAATTTCTCAGATTTCAGGTGGGGATTTATGAGTAGGTACTTTATATTTAGTGACAATAGATTTTTCTTTGCTCCCTTCTGGATGCGCCTAAAAAGAGGACAAATTATATACTGCCAGTGACTGCCTCTGTTTCAGTTTCTGCTCATGCAACCTCCATGACGACTTTATGAGGGAGGGAGAAGATGCGTGCTGAGTATGCCCCTTCAGAGCCATTTTTCTCCGTGTTTGAAGGGAGATCTGAGATGCCAGGGGGTATCTCAGAAAAGTGAGGCCTGTTACAGAGGCAGCAGATGCAGTTCAGCAGTGCTCTTTCTACTCTGACCATGGAAGAGCTAGCACTGGGGACAGAAAGTGCTCCATTTACTCTCAGACCTTGGCATTTCTCCCAAGGGTACAAATTATAATAATGTTTTGGTTTTTTTTATGATATGGGCACACATCCATTAGGAGTTGGCTTGTGCACACCAACTCATTTTGCACAGGCCATGGAGCACACATCAGATGGCAACAATTCCTGTTCGTGTGCAATGCTAAGAAAATCTAGATTGTTACCAGCAGAATAATGAATTCCATATAATTGTTTTGCTCTGCGGTGACAGGAAGAAAAAGTGCAATTTCTCAAGAACTCTTTCCTTTTTTTTTTTTAAACCACAGGAATGATAGATTATTAATCATGATTAATACTCTGTTACTGTGAGTTATGGTAGAGAAGTGCCTGGTGATCCCAGTCTGTGCAGTAACCTCATGTTCTTGCATAACAGGAAACTTTCTTTAGGATTTAGGAGACCTAAAATTCAGCTTGGCATGGATGACAAAGACAGCAATGCAAAATACAGATTGGAACCACTCGTTTCACATAATTAAAAGATACATTTTATAGATATATACATTCTTAGTCAAACAGTAATTAAAGTTTTTCCATATATACAGGCATAACAACAGGATTGCAAGCATCTTACTTGCTCCTACATTTTGCTTTCTTCCTGAGAAACAATGTCTTCTAGAGCTCAGCTGTAGCATGCAGTCTGAATCCCTAAGCAGCACTGGAGTTAAGGCAAGAGTCGTCTTGACATTTGGAAGAGCTTGGTTATTCTCGTGATTGCTTAAGAGAGTACGAAGGATTAAAATGCTCTAGGAAGTAAAGGAAAGTCACAGGCGATAATATAATACGCTCCATTCCTGAATTCAGAAAAGTACACGGGATAATTTTTGTTTGCCCCCTATCTAAAGGGACTTCTGTGCATGGAGTGTAAGGCACCAGAACTACAAAGAGGAAGGCTCACTCAAGGGTCAGTTGGAGAATTGCATTTCCTTTGAGATTACTGCTTAAATTTTCAGAAGCACCCCGAAGCCTTGTCATTGGGTCCTCTGATAGTGCTGGGTGCAGTACAGTATTTAGCAAATGACAACTTCAGCTGCGAAGAATTTGCAACCGAATCAGGAGATAAAAGGACTTTCTTTTTTTAAGGATGAGATTGGTGAGTCACTGCCAAGAGGAGATCCGTAGAGAGCATCCCGTGGTCCATTCCTGTAGAAGGCAGTGATACAGATCTTCGCTATTATCTCCGTCTCTCTCTTCCCCCAGCCAATCTGTCAGCTCATTTATGGTGCTGAGGAGAGGCGTCGTGTCAGAGCGATGTTCCCGTTTGCAAAATGGTAAGTTTATTTGTTGTTCTGAGGAGTCAGTTTCACACGCTGCAGAGCTGACATCTCTCCGGGAGCACAGCTGAGTCCAACATGTTCAGAACAGCCATCCACCCAAATGCCTCCTACTCACACACTCAGGCCTTTCTCCCCAGTAAAGGAAAAATACAGAGAGAGCCTCGAATAGTTCCTGATAGTTCTGCTTAACTGGAATGTCTATATCCATGTTCTTATCTGATAAACAGGTATTTCTCTGGCTGAGGAAATCAGTTTAATGTAGGAATAGGGTGGCTCCCCAGACAGGAAATCCAGTTTCTGGAATGCTGAATGGAACAAAACATTTTTGTTTTTCTGGTGTCAACACTTCAAATGGTCCCAGCATCATGAAAGTATAACATTACAATTAGCACTTTTATGGCAGAAAACAAAGTTGTCATGAGCCGCCAGCTCTACTATGTTGCATGAAATAAAGTATGAAAACCATTAAATATGGAAGAATATTAACTCATTCCTCAAGATTTCATTGCTTATATAGAATTCTTCTAAAAATCTACTTCCTAAAACAGGAAACTGAGCAATGTGTCATTGTAGACTTTAGGCAAAAGATACTGCTGAACTGTTTAAAATGCTACTATTCATCATGTTAGTAGTTATCAGTATTTTCCAGCATGATTCAATTCATGTTGTTGGGGCTTTCTATCTAGCCATGGCTGTGGCCACGACCATTTAAAATCTGTCTTTGGTCTTACTCATGCCCTACAGTAGACATGACTTCAGTATGCCAACCTACACACAGGAAGAAAGGCTTTTTTTTTTTTTTTGAATAGTGGAACAGTTGAAAGGAATATTTTGTACTGGTAATCCTTAATTTAATTTGGTTTCATAATGGGTTATCCCAGTATGGCAAAATTGTAAGTGTCATGAGCTCAGAGCTGGAAAAAAACAAGCAACATTTCACCTCTATACATGTCATTGGCTGTGCTTTGGTGTGCATCACCCTCTGATGCCCCTTGCTCTCCTTCCAGATATTGCAAGAGTGAAAAGCTTTTTTGGATGGCAACATGAAGAGCAAGTATTGCCATTATGCATCGCTATTGGTACTCCTCTCAGAAAATACGTGTGGGTGAGATCTCTCCTCTTGTGACTTCTAAATGTTGTGAGTCCATCTCTTTATTCACATGAGCCTACTTGCTAATTTGTTGAAGATAACCTATGGCAGTTTTGGGTGTCACCAACACCCAAAATGTTGCCCTACCAGCGTAGTCTTAATGCTCAGTATGATCAGATTTAAGATCAAAAACCTGCAGGAGAGTGCAAACTGGAGCATTAAAACTCAGCATTGCTCAGCCCCGGGTGTGCAAATACAGTGCCTTGCAGATGGCAGTAGTTAGCACTTTCCATGTTTGGGTCCCATCGCATCTGGCAGGCTGGCACAGGTGTGACAATTAAGAACTAATGACTTTCTTCCTTCAGGTGCCTGCAACTCACAAAAGGCCTTTGTAATTAGAAGAAGGAAACCTATTATTTTCCCCACTGATGGCCTGGAAGGAGCATAGGAGCAAGGTACACTAGGCTGCATTTCTAGGTTCGTTGTCCACAAAGCCATCTCATTTTTTATTTGTCATGATAGAGGTGTTTCGTTTGCTCTGAGGTAACAAAGCTTTGAAAGATACTTGATAAAGATTGTTAGCATTTGTACCTACTCCTTACTTTCTCATTTCATGAAGAGAAAGCAATGGAAATTCACACTGGAAATTCACTCTATTGTTATACGTTTAATATTTGTGTGTCACGGCTGGAGATTTGAGACTTAGATTATTAAACAAGTGGCTCCAATGACTTCAGCAAAGCTCAGTATCCTGTAATCTTGTCCAGAACTCTTGTTTGGGATTCCCCAGGCACTTCTACACTGAGATCAGTAGGGTCCTGGGAGAAGTTTTGTGACTATACAAAGCAAGTATGGTCTTTGGTGTTAGTCTATAAATATCTAATGTGAGCAAGCAATTCTGTATTTTCCTCTGTGCTTAATACGATCGTTCTGCACCCTGAGGCAGCTGAATTTACATGCTTTTGTTGTCATATGTGTGATGCACAATATGTATTTCCTTTTTATTAATCAGACCTGCCATCAGAAAAAGAGATGGAAGGAGTCTGAAAGCACAACCAGGATAGATACTGTCATTTTGTAATCTTTTGTGCACAGGTGGAGATGCCTGTTTCCACTAGAATAGATGGCAATATTCTGCTGCTTGCAGGAATCTTGCAAATGAAAATCAGGCAAAGGAGTTACTGGCTATCCATGGGGTAATTCTCCTCTGGAAGTGTGCAGTCAATTCCCATTTAGGCTAATGACACTTAAGGAGTCCTTTTCTACAACTAATGAACAATAGGCATAACCTGTTATTACATAACCATAGGCACGCACATTAATACACTGTCGAGTTGCACTACCCTGTTAAAGTGCTTCCTCCACAAAACTCACTGGAGATTTTTAGAGGCATTTGCTGTAATTACAGCTAGCATGGTTTCTAATTCATTTAATTTTCTTTTCTACCTAAACTGAACATATAAGTGTGTTTTAAGAGATTGAATAAATAAATTTTTAATTATAAAATGATGCTGTATCATACATTATTAATAATAACCAACAATGTGTAATACATGTTTATGTATGAATCCATTAGGGAGATGAACTAATATATATCAGTCTTAAAAGAATGTCCTAATTCATTCTGTGTTTGTGAACGGGGGAAATCCATGTTTAAAGCAATTAGGGTTTTATAAAAGCATTGCACTGGCAGCGGGTAACACGTTGAGCACACTTGGCACTTAGGAATTCTGTTGTTTTCTATGGCAAAGGAGGAAACCTTTTTTTTGCCCTTTATTATCATAGAACCAGTATGTTACAAATATACAGACCTCCAGGGTGAAAGCAGCATGATGGCATAGTCCGGCTGGAAAACATTCCTGTTATCTTTTTCTTTTTTTTTCCCAAAAAAAAGTCTCCTTGTACTCTGTCCAATCCCTTGTTTTCAGGGTTTTTGTCCATTGTTTTCCTATTAACGATAACAGACTTCAGAAATCTCCATGGCAAGTTCCAGGCATTCACCAGTCTCATGGCAGGACTCAAAGAGGCTGCAATCAATGTCACAGTCACAGTTGCAGTCATTGTTGGAGTGGTCTTCATCGGAGGTCTGGTAGTATCTATTGGATGGACAACAGGTATCTATCAGCCAGTGTTCACAGGTATCAGGCAGCATTATAAGAAAGTCCCAAAACTGGCAGAACAAGCAGGCCAGGATAAGTGTTGCACATTCATCTAAGAAAAAGGAAAAGCAGGGAGACGTGAGAAAAAGGGCATGCTTGATTAACCAATACTGTGCTGCTGTGATCATGCAAAAATGAGATAAGTCCTTTAATTTGACACTATGGAAATACAAAAAGATGAAAACAATCAGACTGCTGCAATTATTTCTTTAAAGAATTTCTTTGTTAAAAAAAATCAACAAAAGAATTCCCCCCAAATAAACTCTTTCAAGGGTATTTTTTTTGCCTACAAGTAATTCGGTACTGAATCTTTTTTTTTTTGGGAAACCTTTTCTGGGCTGCCTGTTGCTGTGCTCTGATTCAGTCCTTGCTGGAAGTCAATGCACAGACTCCCAAAGCTTTTGTGGAGAGTAGAGTAGGTCCTCAGACTCTCCAGGTCTGGTTCTTACTGCTGTACTTGGTTGTTCTGGATGGGTGGTGACCTTTGCCCATGAATTAGATGTGGTATCTGGATGAGGACTGAGATGATCTAATGAGAGCTACACACAGTACAGGGCAAAAGAAAACAATTACAGATTCCTCACCTACTTCCAGTTTGGCTTCTATTAAAGGTTTGATTCCATAGAACTGTTTAATGACTGCTAAATGGCCTAGCCAAAGAGAAGAGGTAATGGCAAATACAGAGAACCACATTTACAGAGGGCACTGTGATGGGATTCTCAGCCCAAGGCCCTTCTACTTTCACTCCCAAATTTTACCACCTTTTCATTTACAGCCTTGTCAACTTCCAAAATGAGACAAAAAATTGGAAAACAGTATCAGGAAGGATGATGCCTGTCTGTTTTCTATTCACTTCCCTCAAAAAAAAAAAAAAAAAAAAAAACACTCGATTTGTTACCACCCCAAATTTGAACTATGGCATCTGGGGAAGCTGGTGGAGTGCAGCAGGGCTCCAAGCAGGTGTGAGATTCTAACGGTGTGAATCCTGTTGGATCGCAAAGAACCAAACGTTTCCATTTTTTCCCCCTTCTTGTTTTTGGAAAAGAAAAATGCTTTCAACAACACGAATGTCTTTTCATTGGTTCTTTCAGGAAAGCATATGGTTACATCCGCGTTTCTTGCCCTGGGATGACTAACTGTGAACTCATTCAACTGCACTGGTTCTGTTGTGGCATTTTTTTATCTCACGTAACATAAAGTTCACTGCCAGGAAGTTTCCAGAATTATGCTCGTTTTTTTTCTTTCTTTCTTTTTTATTTTTATGAAAGATTTTTCGATGGAAAACAAAATTAAAAATCATTCCAGTGTCTTTATGTATACAAAAAAAGGCAGCTATAGCAGGTAGCAAGAACAAATAGCGTGTGATTGAACTCCTTTCTAAGTAGCATATCATCATCAATGCTATCAATTTTAATACTTATTTAAATATGTCAAGATCTATTTAGGTTCAGACAAGCACAACTAACTTCTAAGTCAGTTCTGTTGAATAAGAATGACTAGATTTTGGTGATACTGAGTAAATTCATGCTTACATTTTTTTCTAAGTAAATGAACTGAAATAATTATAAAATTGAAACATTTTATAAGGTGACACTGCTGCATTTAATTGTATGAAATTTACAGTGTAGAAAATGTAATCATTTTATCCAGTAGCCTACGGTGTAATTAACACTATTTTTCTTAATGTGTTGATGAAATTTCCTTTCTATACCTAGATACAAGAGATCATATTCAAAATCATGTATCAATTAAGGATCTTTCCTTTTAGTTTTTTTTTTTTCCTCTCCAGAGATCTGTTTTCTAATATATTTTTTTTTCTTTTCCTGAATGTGCTCACTATATTGGTGCTTCTGTAATCTTCACAGAAAAGGTACCATCCTTAGGGCTCCATCCAGGAGAAGGAACACACAAAAAGCACGAGATTTTAATAACAAAGTAATGTTTCGGCACAGAGTCTGTGATGTGCAGTAAAGATGCTTTTAAATTCCCATCAGAGCACACACCATGAACTGTGATAATGGATGTAACACATTTCGAAAAATCTGCATGTGTGAGGCTTTTTTTGTCCTGTTTTAAGTGGGGTAATGTATATAAATAATAGATATTAGCAATTAAGCATCCATTCCTATGCATTCATTTATATATTTGAAAATAAATTAGCCACAAACTGCATAAAAGGAGATGCAATCTCCTGTTTTCTCTTCTGTTTTCCCCGCTGTTTGCAAAAAGACGTTATTGCATTTATCTCAGTGAGAACAATGACCTCAGCTCTCATTCTCTACATAAGTGGATTAATTACCACAAAAGAAGAACTTATAATAATTTAGCCAGCCTGCCTCATCTCTAGTTTTTCCTGTTCCTGTCTGGTGGCTGCCAGTTTGCCCTCTGTTCAGCACAAACCTGGACTAGAGCTTGCTCATGCCACCAGGGCCAGCACGGTGAGACCTCTGAGCTTTGGATCTGCTCTTTTCTCAGCACATCTCCAATTGCTCTGCTTCCAGAGATCCCCCATGCACCAGTGAGTAGGATTTAGCCTTTTAGGTGTGTGAAGTAAGCAGTAACTTGTCAGAGTAAGGAGAGCAGAGTATGCAGTGACAACCGCAAATCTGGTTTCCTTTGGTTCTCTTGGCTTCCATCCAGTATGTAACATTATTAATTGAGCGTGGCTTTTTTTTTTTTTTTTTTTAATTATTTTTTTTCTTGATTCCTTTTGCTTTTTAAGGATTATGAAATCTGCTATTTTCATCATATGTGCACATCTGTGTGCCAGTAATGATGGAGGGGCCTGATCTGATAAACTCAGAAAACAGTGAGTATCTGGGCTGGAGGATGAGTCCCTTAAACGCAATAAACACTGACTGCCCTTCACTGAAATTAAATGTGTTCTAACAGAAGTGACAGAGACACCACTTTTGTTACAGGATCGCTGTTACAACAGAGGTGGTAGTTGTTCCATGACAGCATTGCAGTTTATTGTGTTGACCTGTATTCAGAAGTTCTTAATTCAGGGATCATTTTTATCACATCCATGATAGATCTCAGCGCTGCTTGATATGAAACACTTATCCATTATTGCATAAGACACACATTAGAAACTTTACAAATGATTCACATAAGTATTTTTTTCACATCTATGCTAATAACCAGGAATAACTTCTTAAGTGCTGGTTATTCACTAAAATCAGGGCTGTCATGCTATTTACATTACCAGGAGTCATAGCCCATGGTCTGTTACAGGCACAACCATTTCTCTTCTTTCTTGGTTCCTTCTTTAACAATAACAAAATCACAGATACTCTGCTCCTTAACCCATGCTCTTGTACAATTAGAAAGACCAGCTCCTGTATCTCACAAGGTGACACAGCTCTGGTCAATAGCCCAAGATCAGGCTATGCTTTAGCAATGTGTATGTTTACATGTAGGGGAGCACAGCAGCTCTGTAGGCTGTAAGCTTCTCTTCTATGACTTCAATATCATTGAAAATTTAAGATTCTCTTCTACAGATTCTCATCACTCAAATGAGAAAATGGCAATAGAGCTACTTATTACTGCTTTTGGCTATGTTCTTGAACTTCCCATTAAGCATGTAAGCATTTATTTCAAGTTAGATATGCATTGTGCTCTGAAGTGCTTGTTATTTAGAAATGCAATTTGTTTTACCAAACATACCATCACTGTCTCTCTGATGAACTGATGCATCATCTTCAATGTAGGTGAATTCTCTGCATTTCTCCAGGGAAGCAATGGATGATCTGCTTGCTTCTGACAATTTCTTCTCATTTTTGGTTTCTTTTGATGAAGTGTCTGCCATGCTAAATTCTGCGACAGAACTCATAACAATACCTTTCACGGTCTTTTCATCTGTATGTTTTTCATTTGTAAGCTGGTTTTCTGGTGGGATTAGGAAAAAAAAAGGAAAAAGAAAGACTTGTTTGTGGTACTAAGGCATAGATCTGAGGGAATAACATATGCAGAATTTCCAAGCCTATAGGTGTTTATTTCTAAGGGCTAACCCTGTTTGATGATTTCAGTCTCTTTACATACGTGAAGTTTATTCATCAAGCAAGCAATTGTAAACTTGCACTCGAGGGTTTCCTCTTAAACCAGAGGATTTATAGGCTAAGTAATAACTCCCTTCCACTGGGTGGGATCAGGTGAGAAGAGAGAACAGAACTGTAACCTCAGCTGAAATCTATTTGGAGTATGTTCTAACTTCAGTTTGTGATATGTGAGAATGCAAAACAATAATTTGGTTTTTCAACAGCAGCTCTTGTTTCTCTAAATTTACAGCCAACAGTGTGTGTAGGTAGTACCCAGATGGAGCTGTGCCAGCTGACCATGGTTCAATGTCTTGTTGCAAAGAAAATCAGATTATCTTTGCTTCAAATTTTGTTATAACTTCATCTACTACTTCATCAACTACTACACATGCTTGTATTGTTGGCCCGAAATTCAGCTATAAGATGAGATACTTCACATGCCATCATTGTTCCAGAGAGTCATCTCAGAAACCAGAGACAGAGCTTACTTCTAAGTCCCTATTAGGGGAGAAGAGTTCTGAGCTCAATGTATCCTTGAGGAACTACTTAGGAGCAGATAAACATGGGTTGATGTACAGTTACACTTATTTTCCAAAGTGATCAAGAGTCCAAGAAACACAGTCATTTGCTCTACTGCTGGGATGATAAAACCTCATTAGTTCTTATCTTCTACTGATTAACTCCTGCACCTCACATCAAGCACAGCCTCACTTTTTATCTTGCTTGAATCTTGTGATATGCTGATCTTAAGCTATATACAGAAAATCAATCTTTACAAACACCTCTGTTTTGCAAACGTTACTTTCAAAGGGGATCCATAAATACTCTAAATCAGTTAGTCTGCTTTCTGATGCAAGGAGCCAGAGGAGAGATCTTGCTTATCTCTTGTTTTTCAGGTACCTTTGATGCCTGCTGTATATTAAATAAAAGCCAAGAAAAGATTGATAAAGAGTGAAACCTTGCAGTTGAGCTCCTGCAATTATACTTGTGGCAGAAAAAAGGAAATTTGGGCAGGATGAATAGACTGCAAGACGAGTGGATAAAAAATTGTGAACATTGGGCTTGAGCTAGGAGAAGTGAAGGTTTGAGGTATAACTGTCTCTGATGGAACTCAGCAAAATGGTGAGGTGTGCCAGATGTAAGAGGAGAGGCAGAAGGAGCTGGATTTGATCCTGGAGAAGAAAAGGTGAAGATCTTCCTAGAAGTTGTTTTCTACTACAGGGTGATGGAGAATATAGACTCCAAGTCCTCTCTGTTTTGTCCACTTATGGAATGAGTGAAAATTTCATATAAGATTTTACCCATAGTCAGATTTTATTACGCTGTCAACTTCATGCAGTGGTGTTTCCAAGAGTGAGAAAGCTGGGCAGAGCTTATCAGAGTGATAGCATGGAAGAGGATAAGAGGAAATGCTAAGATAGTGTATTCATTTTTGTTTTAAATCACGGTTATAAAATGTTTGTTGGCAGGTATTTTTTTTTCTAGATTGTGAACTAGCAGTAAAGACAAGGTCTGCTGTAAAGGAACTGTGGGTTTCCCTGTCCCAGAGAGTCTACAGGTTGGCCTTAGGCAAAGAGTGACTGGTAGGATAGGGAGAAATGGAAGGAAGGAGGCAGTAAGGCAGTAGTGGCACGGAGAGGGGACTTGGAAACCTACAGCTGTCAGGTTTTGTGAGCATTAGGATGACAGAAAGCCACAGGTGAGACTTGAGAAGGGCAGAAGAGGCAGCAGCTCCTCAGGGTGTGATGCAGCAGTGCAAAGCCTGTAGGTTGCACACTTGATTGAAGGAAATGAGAGTTCTGGACAAATATGTCTGTGGTTTTTTGACTATAATAATTTGTTGATAGCTTTTTTTCCAGAGCAGTAAGTATAGCTTTTTTCCTCTCCTACTTCTTGATTAACCTCTTGAATCCAAAATGTGAAAATTCATGCAATTTGGGTGTACTTGTATGTACAGTAACTACTATTTTCCAGTGTTTATAAATCAATGACATATCACAATTTCCCCTGTGCTTTCTTCCAATAATATTCCATCTCCTAGAAAGGTGATGTTAATGGAAGTAGCAGAGATCTGGAGGAAGCAATGTCCTCCTGGTCATGCATTGCTATGATTGGATAACAGTTGATTTGTGGGTCCAAAAAGCACATGCCCCACCTGGTATTCAGGTGCCAGTCTTACAAATGGATCTTATTCGTCCAGGCTGAGAGCTGAACATGGGCTGAGCAGTTGAATACGTGTGGGTCAGATTGAAAGGTCTATGCAAGAATGACATTTTGTATCGTTTCCCCCTTTCAAAATTGGCCCTAATGTCTAAGCTGGATATATTTTAAATTGCAATATATCTGTTCAGTTCCCCTATTTTGCCACAACACAATGGCCCACGGAATGCATTTGAGCATTCAACAAACGAGACTGAAAAAAATCAGACGGAAGTAATCAGAAAATGCCAGACTAACATTTTCTGTATCCACCGACTTCCACTATTCATGCTTCAAGTTAATTTTTATTCTTGAAGTGCTGTTGAAGAGAAATCAAAACCAGAAATAGAAAGGCATAGACATAACCTGAATTTTTCAATACAGCACCATCAAACAAAAGGGTAACAAAAGCTGTCATTCAAGGACTCTTCTGTTTGCTAAAGCACACTATATCTTTGAAAATACAGTACATTTTAGTGTCAGACTCTTAGTTTGAAAAGCTCCCTTCAAGTAATGTTATACTTGTCTTGTACAGCTAGATCAAGTCTTCATGCAATCACCGTAACAAGCAAGTTGCTATGACAAGCGAGATCCGTGCTTCCAGAAAACAGTGCGATAGAGGCTAAAGCAGTGTACAATTATAGGTCTCCATTTCATTTTTATGCAATTACCTTCAGTTCAGCTGTGGGTCCTTCTACATTATGTCTTTTATCAATTTAATGTTTGCACAAAGTGTTTAAAGAAATAAAGATTATGCTAGACCAGCATAAAAAAGGGGTTAGCTTTTTTTTCTTTTTCCTTTTTTTATAGTTTGTCTCTGCACGGTGCAGCAATAGGCTGAGAGATGAGAACAAATAAGCAGAGCCAAACAGGATTTAAAATATATATATTATGTACAGCTGGTATTATTTATGACTGCTTTTAAATGAGAATGTTTAAAAAAAAATTGCGGAGAGATGGAGATGGGCAGGAGGTGAAACTTCGTTACTGTCTTCTAAAAGCCTGTGTCCACAGTTCCACACATCTGCAGATGCCCATTTTTAACAGGTAGAAATCACTCACTGAACTGGATTAGAAGGGAAAAATAGGTGCATTGTGATAAAAAAGATCTCAAGCTATTTTGTGTTGGTTAGACTGCTAGAGGTAGTTAGGGGCAAATTCCCTTAATGCACCAATTTTAAAGAGTATCCCGGAGTAGCCAATTTATTCTTTATCCAGGGAAGCTGGGGCTTGCTTGGACTGTTATAGCAGGGAACTGGGATTGCTTACCCATGTTTGTATTAAAGACAAATAGTAGGAATTTAATGTGAGTATTGAGACGTTTTATTAAGCCGGGTGATTCAGGCCACTGACAACAGCGTCTGAATTCATGAAAGCACAAAGTAAATCACCTGCTTCCCACTGATGCCAGCCACAGATCCCTCTTGTTAATAGCAAGGAGCGGCGGTGCTGTTTGAGACTGGTATTTACAGCAGGTCGTCTGACCCCTATTTCTCTTCATTGGCTCAGGCACAAACCAGGGTCTTCCAGCCCTGGAGAGCAGGAGGTAGAATTTCCTAGCGTACTTTAGAAATTAGTTGTTATACAATGGCGTATAAGGGCTTTAAGTCTGCTTTCTTTTGGCGAGGGACTGTGGGACTGAGATGGCTGCGTTCTGCTGGACAGGGCTTGAAGCAATATGGGCAATGCTGCAGAGCCATATAGAGCTCATGTACATCTTACAACCAGGGACAAGTGGGTGTGTGGCTCCGCTCACCGATGGGACTTGTTCCCAATCCACCCTGGCTGCAGCCCCAGCTTTGTGTTCCTGGGGCAAGGAGTCCCAAGGGTTAACAGTGAATTCTGTGGAAAACTCTGGCAGTTTAGGATGTGTAACTTCTTAATTTCACCGTGAGGCATCTTCGTATATCAGTGCACAAGAAACACTGAAGGAATGCCTGGCTGATCTCCCTGCCATTCCCTATCCTATGCACTGCTGTCACTGCCTGTCTATTCAATATAGCACGTGCTCGTCACTCGAGGAGCTGAGTGCCATGTCCATTCAGTCCTGAGATGGAGCCAGCAGAGCTACATCAGACCTGATGGAGGATAACTTGTAAGTTTAAACACTTGAACTGAACTCAGTCGGTTTGAACAGACTCACAGAAAAATGAAACCCAAACTCCAGAAAAGAGAGAGAGAAAAGGAAGTAAGAAAATGACCTTTGGTCACCTGTCTAAAGGACACCATTTTTTCTTTAAATAATTATTTGCAGCAATGTGAGGGGAGGCCAGATGTGCAGCTGCATGGTGTGATGTGCCACATGCATGGGGCTGCCAGCTTACCTGGGTGGTCCTCACTGCTCAGCATCACCTCATGGAGAACTGGGAGAGGCAAGGAGCTGGTGCAGCTGTCTTGGTGGAAAAATAACACAACGTTACAGAGAAATACTGTAAATAGATGTGGCTCAGCACAGAAATTTCTCCAAACACCAGTCATTTAGGGGAGACAAGCATGCTTCCTTCATAGAGACACAGAATGGCTTGGGTTAGAAGAGACTTTAAAGGTCATCTCATTCCTTGAGAAAGTTTTATCTGAAGGGTCAGGACAAAGGGATCAACACAGGCACAGTAGTTCTTTGATTTAAGGTGTGGGGGGCAGAATGGCGAGGCCAGACTGTTTTCAGTGGTGAGTGGAGACAGGACAAGGGGAAACGGCTGGAAACTGCAGCATAGGAAGTTCTGCACAAACATGCGCAAGAACTTCTTTACAGTGAGGTGATGGAGCACTGGAACAGGCTGCCCAGGGAGGTGGTGGAGTCTCCTTCTCTGGAGATGTTCAAGACCTGCCTGGATGCTGACCTGTGCGACCTACTGTAGGGAACCTGCTTTGGCAGGGGGGTTGGACTCGATGAGCTCTGGAGGTCCCTTCCAACCCCTACAATTCTGTGATTCTGTGATTTGTTACAGAAAGTGTTGGGACTGGAATATTTGTAATGAACTGGAGGCCATCATCCATTCCCAAGTACTCTAGAGCCGTTAGATGAGGTTTCTGAAAGGCCAATGAAGGAGGAGGAAGGAAGACACTCTCAAGGCCCAGCCTCCATAGCTTAGCCCTCCTGGTGAACAAGATGCCCGAGGTTCTCATGTGAGTGCTGAGCTCCTCCACCTCTCTTGCACTTGCCTATCCATCCATTTCCCATGCAGTGCTTGGAGTATTCAATCTGTCTTCCTTCTTCACCCGGAGTCAGAGAGACAAAGTGGGATGGGGGCTTGCCCCTACAACAAGCCCAGGCAGATCCTGACTAGTATCATAGGTGCACTCATGGTCTCATGCTCATTGCATTTTGCTGAGCTCAGGGTTGAGGATACAAGGGTTCTAGAGACTTATTTTTATAATAGGGCAACAGGAAATAGTACACAAGGCTATAAATATTTGTATGACATCATGAACTTGTGCAAGTTCTTCTCTTCTGATTTATGATGATGGACTGGTAATTCACAGAAGCTCTGGGTTTACTTTTCTTTTTTTATTTTTATTTTTTGCCGTTGCAGTAACACAGTTAATGGTGCAATCCCTGGAGGGGGCATTTTATCAATAGTGAATTTTTGACCTCATTGCATACATTTTAACTTTATGAATTAGTGACCCAGCTGACTGTAAAACCTTCTATAGGCTTATTATAAATCTATCAGAGGACTAGCAAAAGATTTTGGCCCAGATCCTAAACTCTGACAGGCATGTGTTGATGGACTGCATACCAAGCACTTCCACTAATATTTCTCACTAATTATATCATATATTAAAAAAATGAATGAAGCCAATGTTTATATGTAGCTTTAACTGCTTTTGATATAAGAAAGCAACACAATCCCTAATAAATTTTCACCTTCAACATTTCTATTCATTATGATTTTTACCATGATGAATGAAGTTAGAATGGGAAAGGGAGGGTGTTCGTCTTGAAATCTGTTCAGTGAATGACTGAATTCCCTTCCCCAGCTCGTACTGAGGAAGGAGGGAACAGATGGACACAGGAAGAAGAGGGAGGCGAGTGTGGAGGGAAGGGGATGGGTGAGGAACAGATGGAGTTGGGGGAAAACGAAGGGAAGAGTCAGGAAGGATGGTAGGAAAGTTTTACACCTGACCTTGAGCTGAAATGAAGATCTGCATATACCTTGGGGCATTTAGAAGTTGCTTTGGGATGCTTACTTATGTACCTATGAGGCACTAGCACCTCAAAGTCATGTGGTCCATTCCAAAGGATTCACTGCTCTGTACCCTACATTTTCTTGAGGAGGCAGATACTGCAGGTGGGCATCCATGCTGTGTTCAATCCCTGCTGGTAATGGCAGAGGGCTGAAATGAGAGCAAACACCATAGTGCCCAAAATGGGATGGGAAGTGATAAGTCAGCCAGGCATCTCAGCCAACCCAGAAATTGGAACTTAGAATTTTGAAGAGGTATCCTGCACCCTGTTGGCTGTTAGAATCTGATGGCCAAAATGCTCAAAGTGATTTACAATTTTACTTGCTTAAAAATAGGACATTTGAGATGGCCTGATTTTTAGAATATGCTCAGCATCTGCGCTTTGAGGTGTATTGAATTATATAGCCCAAATCACTAGTAAGTCTTGGAAATCTTGACTATATTTTTAATTCTATTAAATTGCCTGCATTGGTTCTGGCTCTGCTAGCTGAAAAATGGAAGAGGTGAAAGTTAAATATTGGCCATGTGTGCCATTCCCTTTGAAGAAAATGGGAGCCATGTGCACACACCTAGCAGCAAAGTTTGGCCCCAGCTATGATTTCACAGCTGGGCCCTAACTTGAGGAATGCTAAGGCACTAAATGACTCAATTGGGGTAATCTGATCAATGCTGTATTTTTACTCTGAGTTTAAACTGCACACACAGCAAGAGCACAGTTAGTTTTCTTCTCTTTCAAAATCACTTTTCTCTGCAGAATTGATAACACATATATGATGTTTTGCTCTCGTCACACAAACAAGTGAAATGGCAGAGAACATATGTCAAATAAAATGCATAACATTACATCCTTTTTACTTTCTGGAGGCTGTTTAAGAAAACGGCTTCATTAATTTTGACTGAATAAAAGGTTCCTTTAAGGGATTTCAATAGGTGACATGAAAAACGTTAATATGAACGATCAAGACAATGGAGGTTAAAACTGTTTTGAAAATATGTTTCTTTTATAGATCTCAGCTGCTGGAAGAGTTACAGAATAAATATACGGTAGTGCTGACATTCAGTGCTGTTTCATCTTCGGAAAAGAGTTTTTAATAAAGAAAATTCTTTTCAAGGAATGCTTTCCGCAGCCAGTCTTCAAAAAGAGGTTTTCCCCTCTCCTAGTTTAATAAAATTAAAGTAATTTATGTCACACTGATATGTCGATATGTTTTTCAATAAACTTTTTAACAGAGATTTTTAAAAAATTCTCTTCACTTTAAAAATTATAATTATATGTCTTCCTCCCACTTTGAAAATGGCACAAGGTGCTCATTTGCAGAGCTCTACTGTTCAAATCTTCACTGAGAATAGAAATGTCATGACTCAGTTAACAATGCTTTATTATTCACATTGATCTTTTTTTATAGTGTTCTTTATCTCAAAAACATTGTAAATCAGATATCTTCCTCCCACTCTTTTGTTCATTTGCAAATTTTTATTATTCTAGTTTAAGAAAGCAATGGCGTGTCAAGAGTCAGTGTATATTGTTTATGTTCTTTTTTGCTTTAAAATTACTTTTAACTATAAAAAGTAAGGATGTACAGCCAGGAAAAAAAAAAAAAGTAGCTGGATTTCAGGATGCTTAAAAAAGAATTGAAAGGATCAGTGTGAATTTTATGTTGTTCACTTACACTTCACAGTCGCAATGGACTTTGAAAAAAGGGGAGACCAAACACTTTATGGTTTTCATGCGCTAATTCAAAAGGGCCTATTGCATCAAACATCATCATCTGCATTAGACACCAGACATAATTCATGCTCCCAAGGAGCACAATAGCAAAATTCACAACAGCTTTTGTGGCACTTTCCCAGGATGGTTTGCAGGTGCGCACCCAGAGCCATGCACTGCCACAGCTCAGCGCCAGGTCCTTGGGGATCTTAACTGATGCACCCTGGATAAATCACTGGGTTTTCACAGCAACTTCACAGCTTTGGGATTAAGTATGAAACTGCAGCAGAGAAGTAACTTCAGCTGGTCAACAGGTCACAGAAACCAGTGGGCTCGGGTGCAGGACATGGCTGTGCATCCTTTGGGATAGATGTGCCAGAGCCCCCAGGGTTTATTTCCAAGTTAGATCTTCCACGCTCTGCCTCAGGCCCTGTTTCCTTTCCTACCAAGTTCTTCTTCGCATCTCTATTTGTGTCCTAGTTGCTGTGACAGTGTGAAATTTATCCATGACAGTAAGAGAAGCTAGTGCAGAAGGCAGCAGGACCTCATGGTGTTTCATATACGCCTTCATGCTTTGAAGGAGCAGCAATTTCTGACGCTGATTTTAAGCCTTAGATTGGACTTTTGGGTCATGTGACAGCTCTATCCCATAAAACAGCCCTGGAAAGTTGTAGTAAAGAGAAACAAAGTCTTTCCACTTCCTCTTTTGTTTTCTTCCTGTTTTATAGATAACTCAGAACTCCTATATTCTCCTTATTTCTCACTTTCAACATGAAGCTGGTGATTCTGATTCATTATCTTGTCTGAATTGATTGTGCTATTTTTCAAATGAAAGAAAAACAAAACTTATTATTGTTATATCCTTTTCTCAGCAGCACTGCTGCATTAATTCAGCCTTCCTTCCTTCCTCTCAGGGTTAATTGCTCTCCCCATTGGTGAGGCTAAGACTGTCTGCCAATATGATCAAGTTTCAAAAACCAAACCCAACCAGAACGGAGAGCCAAGAAGTGGGCAGGGGTTTCTTTAATGTGTTGGCACAGTAACTAAAGGTAAATCTTACTGATGGACATGCCTGTGCAATTGCTTACTGTTTAGTTTGAGACATTTGTAGATGTACTACTACTGAATTTATTACAAAGGTGTTTCTTTTTCAGTATTTTTTCTCTGTCATTAAATTTGGAAAGGTTTCATATTTGGTAAGCTCTATCTGTTGAGAAGTTGAAATTTGAGAGCAGCTACAGTCAGAATTTGTGAGCTTGTCACACAATGTCTTCCTTTTGCATCCTGTGGTCTTTGGCAGTTATGGTCACAAAGATATCATTGCACAGCATTAATGCCAGAGGAGATCTGAGGCTGTCAGCACTTGAATTTGGTGGGGGAAAACACCGTCAAACCAGCATGATTTCTTAAAGTACACTGAAAAATGCAGCCTACCATTCACTACTCCTGGATAGAGTAGGAGAGAGCAGTGAAACTCAAGATGTCCCTCCCCGTTTATACAAAAATGTCTGGAACAAAGCAGTGTTCTTAGAAATGATGAACCTTATTGCAGAACAAAGTTGCCTTCGTAACTGTGCTCCTAATGTTTCCAAATAGCTGCTTGATCATTTGAGCACACGAAATACTAGGTTCAGCCCCATCACCAGCAAACACTTAAATTCTTCTCACCACAGCACCTTCACTGTGGTCGTTTCTGCCTGGCTTTGTAGCACTGGCATGTGTAGTACAAGTACAAAGTCTTCATTGTACACACAGACTTTCAGAGGAGAGCTACAGATTTCCTGAAATCTCCCTAACACCGACTGTCCTGTATTGCATGGAACTGCACTCCCAAAGAGCTGTCCTGGTGCCTGATGTGGGCCATGCACAGGGGGCTGGTTGGGCACGGGGCACTGAGCTTGCCAAAGCCCAAGGAGCAGCACCCTTGTAGGGCTGCATAGACACAATGATAGATGAGAAGACCCATTGGAGGAGCTCGTGCCCCTCCTCAACACTTCCTCAAGTCAGAAGTTTCAGGAAGGCTCAGGTAGACCTCCCCTTAAAAGCAAGGAGGTCACAGCCTAGGACCTGGGTGTGAATGAAATGGAAGAGGTGTCATGCTTTAACATTCTGTTTAGGAAAAACTTAACCCCATTAATCCTTAAGAAGAGGGTCTCTGGTTTGTTCTTTTTTCAGTCTATTCTGTATTCAAAGCAAGTACATTTTTTCTGTCACTATACCGCTATTGTTAACAACTATAAATGTATTAAAAACACAGGGGCATTTTAGTATGTGTATTGTGCATAAGAAATATTGTTACATGACAAGCTCCAATTGGCAAGTGAAAAGAGGTTTTATTGAAGGAAATCGCAGTAGCAAACAGTGAACTATGCAGAATAATGGTAATTGTTCCTTTAACATTGGCAGCGCACGTTCACTTAATATGACTGCTCCTCTGTCTCTGCCTCATCCAGACCCAGAGGACCTGTTAGACAAGCAGGCAGCCACCTCTCTCTGGGATCAAGCTGTCAATGCAAACTTGCTTTCTTTCTGTTTCTCAGAGCTAAGCTATACCCCCAGAGCTCCTGAAGCTTTTCCTGAGTGAAAGCTTTAAAAAAGCTCCATTCTAAATTACATCACACGAGCTGTTCTCTTCAGACTGACAGAACAAAAGCACGAGAGGGGGGGGGGGAACACCAAAAGTACCATCTGAGTGACTTCTGAGTTGCACAGAATGATTTACCTCCTCATGCTTTATCAGAGTAGACTAACATTGGCTTGACCTTGCCCACCAAAGCCCAGAAGTGTCCTTTAACTACCAGAGAAATTTTGCATCCTGTGTGCGTGCAATACAAATAGTGGTAGGCTGTTGGCTTGCATCAGCAGGGTCTTAGACACTGTGCTGAGGATTACTTTTATGGGGGCAAGATGCTTATGGAACATTTTTGGATGATGTGGACTTTAATAGAGCCAGTTCACTGTTACTGGTAGGCCCAGCCTGGTGTGTTCAACCTCTAATTAGCAACTCCCCAATTAACAGTAAGAGAAAAGACTGTTGAGGGCTGCTTCCAAAATCTGAAAAGTTTGGGTTGGCTCTGTTTGGACTCTACAACCAAAGGTCATCAGCAGAAGAGAGCAGACAGATATTCAAAATCTGCTGTGGCTGTGTAGGAAGGGGTTAAAAAATGACTGATCTTCCCTTGCTCTGAAGGTTTTGAGGTGGTTGTGAAGGGTTACACCCCTTCAATCAGGAAAATGCTGTCAGCTGGGAAGGAAGGCCATGGCTGTTATTGCTTCCTCAGTAGATAAATACAGGTAGAATGAAGGCACAGGTTGTGGTTATTTTTCAGGTAAGGTGTACAACAGCAGCTTTTAGGAACTTACTGTTTCTTTGTGTTTTGTCTGAGGTTTAGCAAATTAAAACAAGCAGATTTGGCTTTTGGGCTGGTTCTTTGAGGTTCTTGCTCAGTTTTCAGAAGCAAATTCCTTGTATTCTTGAGTATATATGCTAAGTTAACTGCACAGCAATTTGTTCTGTTATTTTGGACTAAACCTTGAAATATTTCACTAATTCATAGAAAAACAAAAATATTCCTTCTGTAAGAGATAAACTGAAACATGATGAGTCAATAATTAAGGAAGAAACACTTTGCTCATATTCCCCATGGAGTTAGAATGCCTCATGCTCTCTTCTTTCATGAAAGGGGCCATTTCAGTGTTATATTTATATGGTACCTTGAGGAGAAGGAGCTGAGGATGTGGGGATCTTACCTGAGTCTCCATGGGGCTGGAGGATGGGCTTGTCCAGTTCTGGAAAACAAGAATGGGAAAGGAAGACTTCACTGAGCAGGAAAACTCCTCAGCTGATGAGGTGGGGTTGTTACCCCATGTAAACACTGGTTTTTTATAAAGCTGCATTGTTATTGGAGGGAAGTTAGAAGTCAGGCTGCTGGGCTTGGAGGCTTTGTCTCCTGATTGACTTCACAAGGAAGGAAACAAAGTTCTCTAGATGGAAACTGGGAGATAATTCTGCTCTTGAGGGCCCAGCTTTCTCTGGCCTTTCAGATGAGATGTAATGTTTCCCCAGGGTATGCAGTTGGTTTCCATACAGTCAGCACAACTCAGCAGAGGAGCAGCAACTCCCTGAGGACCTCAGCTGGTTGGAGCATCCCTGAATCTGAGTGAGTAAAACTTATGATCTTGGCTATGTCTTCTTGTTGGCTGATGTCTGAGTTGTTTTCACCTGATCAGGGAAATGGCTCTGCGTTGCTGTGTAAGGGACCAAGCTAATGCTGTTAAAGCTGATTGGAAGTGCTTAGCTTCAGGACATGCTATATCAGGTGTTGTATCTGCTTCCTACACCAAATCATGAAAATCTTAATTAGGCAAAAGTCGTCATTAAAATAATTGCAACCGAGGAAAATGCTGGTAATGAACCTGAATGTAGGCCTGATCTCTGTGTGCACTGTCACAATCCTTTTCCTATCCATGGTAAATGTATAGATGCTGGACTCTCAGTTTTTGAAGCAAGAAGAGTAAGTCATTATTTAAACATCTCTTATTCATACCCTCATATTTTCTGAGCTGAGGTTTTGTGATATGCTGGGGGTTCAAATTCAGATCACCTATCTTTTTCTGTTTCAATAAGATGAAGTTTCCCAGGTTTTTAGCTGTGTTAGGGCTTTGCACTGCCTTTTGTCACTGTAGTATCTGAGTATCATAAAATCAATGATGATGACAAAGCAGAAATGTAATGGTGTCTGGAGCAATACACATTTCTCCTCTGCTTTGAGGGAAGGACTGCATACTTGGGTGGCATTGCTGCACTACAGTATGTGGGATTTTGTGCTATGCAGGTGTCACTCATAAAAATTTCAGATCTTTATTTATTTGGTAGATCTGGAGCTGTATGTGTGAACTAAGAAAAAACCTAACTTGTAAATCCCAGGTAGAGTTTGTAGTAGTGGCAACCAGAAGCTTGCTTGTAAAACAAGGAAAACTTGAGCTGGAAATGATTTTGAGACAACAAGCAGGGTGCCACAGCCCTGTTCCCAGGCTCCTAATGTGAGCGTAGCTGGCTTCTCTGCACGACAGCAATGAAGGTCCTGATGGCATGGGGACGTTTGCTGTGGGTCACTTACACCACCCCACAGGCAAGACCTGGAGTCCCTGGGATGCTCGGTTGCTGAGGAAGTTAACTTACTCATGCCACCACACAAATCAAACCCTTTGCTCCTCCCTGCACTGATTGGCATTCTGTGTTGCTTTGCTGGTACTACCTGCCTTGGGGATGTATATGGTTAGTTCACGGTCCAGAAATTTTACTTAGAAGTCTGTAAATGATGTTACTTGTTTTTCATCTAAGAATTCTGTGCAAACTAAGCTTTGTATCTGAAATTCCTAGCATAATTGGGAATTTGTGCCTTTTCCATGCATTGATTTCATGACTCTTCTAGGAAGTGTGATGTGTTTACATATTTCTGTAACAAATGGTAATAGGTAAGGTGGCATCCCTGCCAAGCTCTACGTGCTTTCAAGTAGCTTGCTTTCATCTCCTCCAGAATATGTGGCAGCCCTACTGTGATGTATAGCTTGCATGGAACGGGACCACGGAAATTAAAGCAAGAAATTTAAGATCCCATAGACAGAAAAAATCACAAGAGTACAAAGTGACAGTATGAAAAAGTGCTGTACCTTTCTTTTCCTGTATCAGCTGCCCACTGGAGATGGTGACTGCTTAAATCCTAAGTGTACCTCACCAAGTGCTCGAACAAAGCACTGAATTCCTGCATGCCTCAAATCATCTCCTGTAAAGTGGGAACATGTACACTTCTTAATCATATACGATTGTTTTGGCACCGAAGAAGTGGCTGTGAGTTAATATATGCCCTGTAAATGTGGTTGTCGATGTCTTGTGGTTGCCTTGTTCAGCTTCAGAAAGAGTCTTAAACTTTTATGCAGTTAACTTCTATGGCCATTACAGTTTATGGTCACCATTTAACTACTGCAGGAGGGTCAAATTTTGCAGGCTCTAGTTTCTTTCCAGACTGCAGGATCCCTCCTCCTCCAAGTCTGTTTTCTACACTTGCCAGTACTCTGCCTTCTGTTGAAAGACATTCCTCGTACCAAATAAAGCTAAAGATGCTCATTATAACAACCAAGTTGTTTCCTTTTCAACCGGAGTAAATGCTTATGCCATGAGGATCCTGCGTGTGCTTCTGGTTTAGGGCACAGTAAGACAACCATTTGTTAGAAGGCCAGTGCAGTGCAGGTAATTTTGCTTTTAATTAAACGTTTACTGGATAGCTGCTATGAGCATCGATAATCTAATTCTTGCCTGGTTGGTGGTGATGGAAATTCAAGGAATGGGGAATAAAAGGTTATTGCCATGTGTGCTGAATTGTGGTTTGTCAGCAGCAGTTGTCTTGTAGTTAAGTGGTCATCAAAACCTTTCTTGGGGTGGCAATAAATAATAAAAATCAGAAAATATATCAACTTTCAAAGAGTAAAAATAGCTGCAGCAATTATTGTGACACAGGTTTGCAGTCTGTTTCTGATTATCCTTTTGGCTGGAGAGTTGGGGTTTCTAATTGTGAGGTTAAGGAATCCTTTTTATCTGTCTCTTGCCTCCTAATCCTATGCTAGACAGTATTGTTTTCTGTGTCTTTTGTCTTCTGGGGAAGGAGACAATCTCTGGTTCATGCAAACATCTTGTTAAAGTCTGTTGAGGATTAGGGGGTGTGACAGTTTTCTTGCTGAGCCTTTTTATTGGGGATTTTTATGCTTGCTTTTCTGGGAGGTCTTTGAAATATCTTTTATGTAGCAATCATTCCACTCTTTCTTTGTTGTCTCAAATGTTGAGGCTGTGTTCTTCTCTGTTCCTGTTTATATGCCATACTAGCTGGTCACAACAGTTTGGCTTGAAACTATCATCATGCTGTGCACTTCTGAATTGCGCAGTATTGCTAACCAGTCTGTGACAATTGCAAATGTGAGCATTATTTTTGGCCATCTGAAGCTTTAGCATGGTTGTTCGCTGTGAAATACTGTTAAAAAACGTTCCAGATGAAAAATAATCATCTTGGAGCTGGGCATTTTGAGTGTCTGCAGCTACAGGCACTGGCATTAAAACAGCTCCTGCTATAATAGGGTTGGTGTCCTTCGGGGTGGTGTTCATAGTGGCAGCTGCTGTCTGCCCTAAAATCCTGCAATAATCAAAGGGAGAGATGAGTGTCCTGCTGGCATGGCAGCCCCTCTTGATAGGAGAGTTTAAACCAGGAATGAGTTGTTTCTTGGAAGAAATGTTTAGTCCATGCTCCTCGCCCTTCCACCTTGCAGTGGTTGGCTATAAATAATAATGGTAAAAATAATAACTTGGGCTAGAAACTAAATGTATAGGTGACTGAAGGCAGATAATGAGAAGATTAATCCTGTTTGAAGAAAACAAGGAATTTCTTCAGTTTTTAATAAAAAGATTGGAAAACTTGATTAATCTCACATTCATAAAGCTGAAGGCTTTGTCAGCCTTCTTTAAGATCGTAGGTAAAGCAAAAGACTGCTTCCTCAATTTTTTTTAGCATTTCTACACCTTGAGCAACTGTCTCAATACATGTGGACCCTTGAACCTTTTGTCAATGAAACATTAAGCTCTTGTTATTGCTGATCTTAACATGATGCTTATTTCGGACGCTATGTAAGCTTATACAGCAGCTGGGGACTCAATGCTAAGCAGGGAGCCAGGGTTGTGTTATGTTTTGCTGATAGTGAAGGTACCAGAGGCAGGTCATACCAAAACATCACCTTCCTCTTGGAGAAGGCCACAGGAAGTGTTTTAAAGCTGCAGAGGCATGCTAACAAATCTATTTGATCAATATATGGGATGTGAAAAAAGAGGAGACAAGATTGACTGATGAATAAAATGGAACTGACACAAATAGGCTGACAGCCAGTCGCAAGTCTCTTTAGGGCAAATGCAATTAACTTAGAATAATAGACTCAAATTTGATGGTTAGAAATGCATTTTTATTAACAATCACAGCCTGAATCATTATGCACTCTTATGAATAAAATTGTACTTATACTGAATGTCTGTGTATACATGTATGCATGTACATACAAAAAAGGCTTGTTGAAGGAGGGCTTTATTTTTGTGACAGAAAATAACTGTATGAGATTTAAAATAAAGAGCATACATAAGTATAAGGCTGAATATTCAAACTAGTGATAAAAGTCCCATGTAGTATGCTAGTATTAATGATGAAGGCAATAAGCATCAGTCCCAGGACTGCTTGTTCTTTTGGGATGTGAAATTGCAATCAGGGATTTACAGATTTCATTCTGAGGCAGAGAAGTCATTACTAGAAACATAAGCTCATTCTCTTTACTTTAATAGCTATTTTAAATCATTCATTTAGAAAATACATTAACTATTTATTGTATAGGCTGTACACTTCTATTGGCCTTCCATTTTCATGCTTTTTAATAATCCTTTTTAGCAAATTATTTTATTAAAAGAAGATTAGAATTAGCAAAAGGATCCTACCAATTTTTGAAAATGCTACTCTTGAAGAAGGATATTTCCTATTATTAACAGGTACAAGGTATTAAAACTTTAAAGAGACAGAAGATATTCAATTGCTAATGTGTCCTTTTTCTTTTGACCTTCATAGCAGAGGCTGATTGCTATTTGTGCGTTAGTTTCAAAATTACTAATCTCATTTAATTTCTGAATGAATATAATATTTTTTTCCCTACCCAAACATCCTTGGATTTAGATATGAAAAGAGCTGCCTATAGGATATGCTGTGCTG